AAAGATTCCTGAAACTATATTTTAAAAAGTGATTAAGCAATTTTCAATAAACTAATGATTACACACTTACACTTGTCACTCCATTAATAATTATAAATATATGTCCACGTACCAAATAAATCTTAATTTTTTATTTAAAAATATTATTATTTAAAATATGGGTGCATTTCACCTTTGAATTAAAAAGGGTAGTCTAGTAAATTACGGAGTCAATCAAGCTGAAGCATCCATCCGTTCATGCATCCTCTTTTACTTACTTCCAACACAAAATTCCTTTAATTATCAAATGGGTCGGCTAATTGTTTTCACATCTATTTAATTCTCCTTCTCAAAAATATTTTCTATATTTTGTAATTAAAATATATAAAGGCACATATATTATTGAATAAAATATACTATATTTTTATTGAGTTTTTTTTTTTTCTTTTTAATATTATATGTAGGGTTATGTTCGGTTAAGAAACTAAAATTTGATTACGGATTTAGAAACCGTACACAATAACATATTTATCAAGAATATAAATGCATTATTTATCATGAATGTATAGTTAATGATGAATAACATTTTCATATTAATCATTGATGTGTTATTGAAGATAAATACTAATCCTATACAGGGGACATGTATCGTGTTGTAAACAGTTTTGGATTCTAATTAATTTTGAATTTTTAACAAAACAACTCGATATATATATATATATATATATATATAGAGAGAGAGAGAGAGAGAGAGAGAAAGAAAGAGATATATGAAATCACATATTAATCAAATGAAATGGACGGTTGAGATTGAGTTGTATTGGTTGCTGCACAAATGTCAAATGTTGTATAATAACCAACATCTCTCTATATGTATATGTATATGTATATGTATATGTATATGTATATGTATATGTATGTTAAAAAGAAAAAGGGAGAAGGCAGGGAAGGATTAGTTTAAAAGAAACATGTTTGGAGAAAAAGACGATTGTCTTGTCTCATACTAAATTATTTGGTCGGAAATAAATGGGGTTTCACGAGATTAGGGTTAATCAGGGAACACACCCTTTTTACACCCACTTTCTTTTTCTTCTTTAATAATTAACCCTCATTATTACCTTTTTTATTAACACACAACACAATTTATAAATTGTTAATACATAAAAAAAATCATTTTAATTTTCTTAAATTAATTCAATTTTCGATTTACATACACTTCTATTATGTATAAGAGACAAACATCCGTCTATAAATACGTACAATGAAGTTTTAAGGTATTTGAAATTCTCTCTTCATGAGAAAGCAAGGTTTACGAGGCCATTACAAGACGCAAACCGAGGTTCAAAGGACCCGGGTTTTTTGTTTGCTTTTCATGTCATATCAAAGTTATTATGGTATTAGTTTTAACGTGTATCAATATTTATGTTGTCAATTGTACAGAGTAAGTAATAACATCCAACGAAATCCAATTTAGTACTCCTGATTTGATGAGATAATATGCGACTCAGTGATATTTTTTTACATATTTTTGTTTGTTTTCTTTTTGTATTTGTAAGTATTGTTTTTTAAATTAGGCTCTATTTAATTTGAATTGTATCTATACTATATTATAAAACATTTTATAAAAACTCTTAACATCCATCTTTTATATATGAAGTACTGCTTATTACTTAAAATTCAAGACTACAGATAAATCGTGCGTAAGTACAATTTATTAAGCTTCGTGTTTGAATTCGTGTAACTAACCGTGGATAAATATAATCAAATACATGATATAGTTCTTATTTTAAATATAAAATATTAAATATAGTTAGGATGATTATTGAGTTCTAACAGAATACTTAGTAATTTTTTTTTAAATTATAATATTAAACCAAAAATAAATTACTTCGCCATTAAACCTGAATTAAATTATAATAAAACAATTGAATTAAAAAATTACAAAAAATGAGAACTTTTATATTTTTTTAATTTTTATGATATATTCAAATTTATATTTTATTAAGAAAAACATTATTGCTTGTTTAGAACCATATAAATTCGTATTATAATATCGACAGAGACCAAAAAAAATAAAATAAAATATTGAAATCAAGATATATCTCGTTGTATTGTGCGAGTACCATTCTAGTTAACGATAATGACAACATATATTTAACTTATTTTCAATTGCTCCCATTTTGGTTTATTATTAAGGCTTAAAACAAGTTTAGCAAGATACCAATGAAATTATAATGCATACATCTTTATAACTATTTTAAACGAAGGATATATGAACAATCATATATCAATATTGATTTTTTTTGGGTGCATTAATAATAATCTTGAGTAAATTACACATTTGGTCCCTATCTTTTAGTGAAAATTAGAGTTCGGCTGCTTACAACCCGTTCATTAGGGTCTTTATCCCCATGGTTTGTAATTTTCGTTACGTTTAGATCTTTCTAACTAATACATATCCTATTTGACTCTTAAGTGGAGGCATGCATATGCATCCCTCACATAAGGGCAATTACGTCTTTTCCTTTCCTCTTCCTACCCGTCATCATCTTCTTCAACACAATTTTTTTCATAAACAACATGAACATGCATATAAATACATTCAAGAACATGAACACCATGAACATCATGCTTTTCAACATTCAAGTTAAAAGACTACAGATAGATCCATAAGCACAAAGAATGTTCTTCAATCCAATAAATTGAACACAAATTCATACAAAAAACTGGTGATACAAAACCCCATGTTTGAACGAAAAACAAGGAAACTCCTACATTCAAATCAGAGCAAAAGAAAATCTTGAATAAAAAAAACAACAGAACCTCCAAATCTAAATCTTTTTAGTGACACGAGATATCTAAAATACCATTTAAAGCTATTTCCAACACCAAAATGGTATAAAACAAAAAGTTTTTTGTATTGATGAATAGTGGATCACTTAGGGTAAGAAGTCATCTATGGTATTTTTTTTTAATGATACGTTTTTATTGTATTTTGCTTTTAGTGATATTTCTAATATAGGATTGAAATGAAAAAAAATAATATATTATCTTTTTCGTCCTAAAATACGTCTCTATTATTATTATTTCAGTTTCTCTTAAATAAATATATCTATACTATATTATAAAGAATTTGACAAAAACTCTTAAAAATCATTTTTTATGCATAAAGTATTGTTTATTGATACATATTACCTAAAATTCATGATTACAAGTCAATTGTGGGTAAATACAACTTATTAAAGGTTCATTTTTGAATTTGTGTAACTAAATATAGATAAACATGATCAAATACGGGATAAACATTTCATTTTGAATATAAAAAATCTAAAATATAATTAGAATAATCATTAGTTATAACAAAATATTTAATTATTATCTTTATAAAAATTATATTTATTAAAGGATAAATAAATTATTTCATTATTAAATCTAAATCTAAATCATAAATAAACTATAGAATTAAATAAATTACACAAAAAACAGAACTTTAAATAGTGAATTTGATACTAATATCGATATATTTTTCCCCAAATTTTTATTATATATTTAAATTTATATTTTATTGAAAAAAAAAAACATTATCGTTTTCTCAAAACCACCAAAACTTGTATTATATCGATATAGATAAATAATAAAACGAAACATTAAAATTGATATATATCTCGCTATATTATGTGAGTACCCTTCTAGTATTTTCTAAAGTAAATGTTTGTTATCGATGAAGAACATTCTCATTCTCTCTCTAATTAAGGATAAAACTGTTATTTTGTTAAGTTAAAAATGCAATAATTATCCATCACTAAAACTTTATGTCTTTTTATTGCGGATATTTATTTTTTAACGGAGAGAGTACTAATTCAATGCAAATTTTGATATTTTTATTGTTACAATTGGAGTTAATCTAACAACAAGTATAATAAATCTTGGACCATCTCCAACGAGGACATTAAATCTTACACAAATATCTATGACAAAAGACATTAAATCTTACAACAAATACCATTTGGTATAATGAATAGTAAGACACCAATTTAATGGAACACGATGCATTTTTACACCATCTGCAGAACATAAAAAGAAATGGATCTAGAATCTTACATTTTGATATAAAATATAATATTACCCAATGAAAAATATTATTAAACTACTTTAATAATAATAATATAGCTAATGCTGAAATTGCTAAAATAAAGTAACTATTAAAGTTGAACATATATATTTTTAATATTTTATTATAAGAAAAATGATGCTTTAAAATCCGGAAATAATAAAAAAGAAATGTTACTGAAAAAAGAAAAGGGATAAAAGGAAAAGAATAATGAATAGCATTATTATTATTATAAAAAAGTGAAGGATGGATGATGGTAAAAGGCTATGGGCGTAGTAGGCGATCTATGGAATTGGGAAAGGTTTTATTGGCCCCGTTTAATCAAAACCGAAAAAGACATAAAAGTAATGGAACCAACATACACCAGTATTACTTCTCCTCCATCCACCCATCCATTTTCCTTTCCTTCCTTCTTCCCCATTTCAATTTTAACTACTAACCCTATTTCTGTTTCCATTTCCGTTTCCAAGAACAAGAACAAGGTAACAATGGTGGTATACATTTGCTTCATCGGTAATTTTTAGTTTTTAATTTTAATCTTCATGGAGACATTACCTAATCCCTTTCGTCATCATTTTGTGTGGGTTTTCGGTTTTACGTTAATTTCAACCCTTTCCTTTATCAATGCATGTATGTAATCCTTCGATTTCAGTTGGCGTTGGATCTGGATCCACACGACAGATATTTCCTCCTTTTTAAAAAAAAAAATATTATTATTAATATAATAATTATTATGATTAATGTTAGCTGTTGGAATATATATAATTGCCTTTTACTGATCTGGGTTGCTGTGTTATTGGGGTTTTTGATTTTTCCCTTTTTAATTCATTGTTAGGTGTGTTGATTCGAATTGCCTAGGCCTTTAAAATGGTCTCTCGTTCTTGTTCATGGGTTCATCTTTAAAACAATCATGGTTAGTTTATCCGAGGATGAAGAATGTCGATTTTTCGATGCTCAAGATACCATCATTGGCTCACTCGACTCACTTCCTGATCCAATCTCTGAAACCGACGAACCTAGTATCCATGGGGTTCATAATCATGATTTCCAATATCGTATCTGGGCTAATGCTCCTATAAGTGTTCACCAACGAAAGAATTCTTTCCTTAGATTCATGGGTTTAAGCTCAGATGCTAAAATCCTGGAACAAAATACGATTGATGATGATTTATTGAAGAAGGAAACTCACGATAGGATGATGCAGATCAGTGGAACTGTGTTGAGAATCCCACTTGAAGAAGATTCTTTAAGTTCTGCTGTTTCCAGAATTCAAGATTCTAATGGTAGTACGAACTGCAAAGAAGAAGAAGTAGATGGACACAACATATTGACCCGATTAGAAGTTGTATCGTCTCCATCGGTTCAGAAACTCGTAGATAGACACATTAAGGTTGCTGACACCATGGCGAAAACGATGAACAGAGTAAAGGGTCAATTCTTGTGCAGGTTACGATCCATGGCGTGCATTGTTCATAAAGAAGGAAGGTCTGATGGTTTTGGTTCACAGGAAGTTGGTTCGCGTCACTGGCCCAAGGTTCAAAGAGTCAAGGTTCGCCACAGTGGGAAGAGATTGAAGGAACTATCAGCCGTATTTATTGGGCAAGATATCCAAGCTCACAAAGGTTCGATATTGACCATGAAATTTAGTCTTGATGGCCAATATCTGGCTAGTGCTGGAGAGGATGCGGTTGTGCGCGTTTGGCAAGTGGTGGAAGACGAAAGATCGAATGACATCGACATCCCAGATGTCGACCCCTCTTGTCTGTACTTCACGGTGAATAATCTTTCTGAATTGGCACCGTTAACGGTTGCTAAACAGAAGATTAGTATGCTGAAGAGCCTAAGAAAGACTAAAAACTCAGCTTGTATCATCTTTCCTCCTAAAGTGTTTCGGATACTGGAGAAACCAGTTCATGAGTTCCATGGACACAAAGGGGAAGTCCTGGACCTTTCATGGTCTAGGGATAACGTGAGTAAATTTATCATAATAATTTCCTTGAATGCGATTGAAATTTGTTAGGTTAATCATTTAATCTTGTTGTTTTCTTATTGTAGCTTCTGCTATCATCATCGGTTGATCAAACCGTCCGGTTATGGAGGGTTGGGAGTGATCATTGCGTTAAAGTCTTTCCACACAGCAACTACGGTACGTTCATCAATTTGGATTATTCATGTCAGGGAAGGTTCAAATGAGAACCGTTTTATGATAAATAATACATGAAATAGTTGGTTTATCAAAAATATTTGTGGTTCTCATTTGAAATTTCCTCAATTCATGTACATTTGGTCATAATACTTACAATCGACAAACTGCAGTGACATGTGTCCAGTTCCAGCCTGTAGACGAAGATTATTTCGTAAGCGGTTCAATTGATGGAAAAGTTCGGACTTGGTCCGTTTCCGGTTGCCAGGTTGTTGATTGGATAGACGTACGAGAAATAGTCACTGCTGTGGCTTACAGTCCCAATGGAAAGGTTTGATTTTCTTCCATTTCATGTTGATTCATAAAGCCAGATCTGCATATATCAATAAAAGCCAGATCTGCATATATCACACCAGACCGGATTGGGTCCTGGTGTGATATATTGGACTTGTTTGGTTTGGTTTACTGAAAAAACCGCAGTTTCCTTGTTTCAGGGTGGAGTCATTGGATCCATGACAGGTTGTTGCAGTTTCTTTAGTTTGTCAGGTAACATTCTTGTTCTTCTTTGTTGCATTTGCTTTACAGTTATATCGAGAACTCGTGTTGATTGCCTTTCATAACACATGGTTCGGCTTCTAGAGGTTATTTTGCCAAACAACCTCTAGACAAGTGCCTTTTAAATCCATGACCACCTTGACAGGTTTTTCTGGACATTCTTTTGTAAGAAAGTGACATTTTTCTGTTAGTAGTCATGTTTTCAAACTTGTCAAAAAGGTCATAGATTTAATAAAACCTCTGTCGATCAACTCATTTGTGTCTTCCGTTTTACGTTTCAGATAATCATTTCCAACTAGAAGCTTCAGTATCGTTAAATAGTAAAAAGAAGTCGCCTTTCAAGAGGATAATCGGCTTTCAGGTATGTCCTTTGTTTTGCAGGTTCAATCCTTGATGCTACTTCAGAACCCTTTTTCCTAATTTTGGTTCACTTTCTTGATCTTATCTGTAGTTCTGCCCACAAGATCCAGCCAAAATTATGGTCACTTGCGGCGATTCCCATGTCAGAATTCTCCATGGCACCAACATCATTGCCAAATACAGGGGTATCGTCCCATCTCATCTTCACTCTCTAAATTGCAACTAGTTTTAAATCAATTTCTGTTTCTAAATTCTTGCAACTCATGAACACCAGGTCAACGGAATGCTGGAAATCCGTTATCTGCAGCATTCACTGCAGATGGGAAACGTATAGTTTCGGCAAGTGAGGATTCTAATGTATATGTTTGGAACTGTAACGATCAGAAAGGACCTTCTGTTTACCAACAAAAGACTGTCAGATCCTATGAATGCTTCTCTGCTGGTGCCTCAGTTGCGTTGCCGTGGTCTGGCCTGAAGGTTCATAAAAGTACAGGGGACGGGAGGGAGTTAGAAGACGGTTTGTTGAAACCGTTGCCATTTTCTTCCCCTAGTTACTTCTCTCTGGACCAAGAGTACTTTCCAGAGTCGATGCCAAAGGTTTCCGCAACTTGGCCTGAAGAAAAGCTTCCATCTTCTAGTTCATCCCCTGGCATATTGTCTCCATTGTGTAAATCTCGATACAAATTCTTCCGATCTTGCCAGAGTTCGTATAGTTGTCATGCATGGGGCCTGGTGATTGTTACTGCAGGCTGGGATGGACGGATCAGATCATTCCTCAACTACGGACTACCAGTAACTGTTTGAAGAAAAATTAGTCTTTATGGAATGAATGAGCATAACAAGACCATCAGTTTGATCATGTGGTACAACAAGAACACCCAAGACTCCATATTTGATTGAGGGATTCTCTGAATTGCTTATTCGAGAATTTTGTCTGCTGGCCCCTGGGTAGAGATGGAGTTATCGGGGATGGGGCCTGTTGAAGATGCTGAGAATCCGGTAGGTGGGTTTCATTTGAAATGGGAAGCTGGTGGTTGTGACGACTTTTTAGGAGGGGCCTAGAAAAGTGGTACGGCAGTGTTTTTGGGCAGTGGTGAATGATTGAGTACGAAGTGGGGTCGAAGCTAAACGAGGAAATGGGCAGCAAAGGCAAGTTATGTGCCTGTGGCTTTACTTTTGGTCCAAGCATTCTTCTGATAAAATGGGGGGTAAAAAGCAAAATATCTTCATGACTTTATTGGTGGGCATTGAAGGGCGATATTGTCTTTTACTTTACTTACAAAGTTGCAAAATGGTGTTTGGCATTTTGTAATTTGATGCAGCATCGTGTAGCAAAGGGATCGTTGTCTGGAGTGGATGCAATATGTACATACGTGCCATTTATATGGTTTTCAACTGTAATTATAATTTTGGCTTTAATGCTTTCTTTGCAAATGGTACAAAATAGATGATTATTCAATTTCAATCAAATTACCTGACCTAAATCCAATCTCCAAAAGCTAAAGTATTCTGAATCTCAATCTGAATGACACTTTAAGGTGAATCTTTGAGAACAACCCCTAGTACGTATCAATCGTTTGCAGGTCAAAAGGGAGAACAAGAATCAACATCTAACAGATACGTGAATTAAAATGATAATCCAATTGCATATCTATATATGATGATATCTTCATGAAAGGGGACCCTGGTGTTCACATCAATTGCATTCTAAGAAGATTAATACTTCAATAAAGAGATTCAAGACCTTGAAAGAACATAGACACTTTACCAATTTCTAGATATCTACTCCAAAGCTTAAACCATTGGGGTTACCAACACGATCGAAGAAATTTCTTCATTCAAACAACTGTAAAGCCTTGAAATTTCTTCATGCGGATGAACACCGGCAGATATAATAATTTTGGAAACAAATAAATATAATCATATAATCCGGATAAGTACGAAGGAAGTTCAACAAAAAGTGAAATCGTAATCAAAGAGACTGTAACATTACAATAGGCTGGATCACATCAACTCAAGCATACGACATATTCAATAACCGAAACTTAAATACATACTTTTTGTTCTTGGATTCTGGTCAGATCACCAGATTGGACATCGATTCACACAGGGAGATCCTCGACGGAGGTGGGAGTATGTTGGGAACTATCGGAAGGGGGGAATTGAAGATTTGTTGACATAAGAGGACAATCTTTGGCTTCTTCTTCATTCTCATCGTCGGAGTCGGAGGTGTTTAGGTTGACGCAGGAGAAACGTTCAAGAGATGCGAAAAAAGCAGAGGCGACGTTGTTGCCGACCCAATTCGCGATTCCTTCGAGCTTTTCATAGGATAGGATACTAGATTGCTCCATCTTCAACGAATTTCTCCGATCTGGGAAGATTCAATTGAAATTGATCTGGTAAGCCCTAGAATGGAAGAGAAAGGGGAAAGGAAGAAGAGAAAGAGGAATAACCCACCACGTGTGATGCAAAACTCCGCTTCACTAACCCTACCCACGACACAAATACACCAAGCCGGCCTTCTTTAATTATAAAGTCAAATTAATTATCTATACCATATTATAAATTATTTGACAAAATTTTTTAAAAATCATTTTTTATATATGGAATACTACTTAAAATTTAACATTACAAGTAAATTGTGTATAAGTACAACTTATTAAGCTCCATGTATGAATTTGCATAACTAACTGTAGATAAATATAATCAAATACAAGATAAAATTCTTGTTTTAAACATAAAATCTAAAATATAATTAGGATAATTATTGATTCTAACAGAATACTTAGTTATTATCTCTATAAAAATTATATTATTAAAACAAAAATAAATTACTTCGGTCACTAAATATAAATTAAATTGTAATAAAAAATTGAATTAAAAAAATTACAAAAAAATGAGAACTTTTATATTTTTTAAAATTTTATGATATATTCAAATTTATATTTTATTAATAAAAACAATATTGATTGCTCAAAATCACATAAATTCGTATTATAATATCGATAGAGACCAAAAAAATAAATTGAAACATTGAAATCGAGATACATCTCGCTGCATTGTGCAAGTACCATTTTAGTCTTTAAAAAAATCGTATCTAAATATTCTATAAATTAACACATATTTTGTGAGACGTGAAGTTATATTGAAAAATATAAGAAGAAATTTGAACTTTTAATCTTATGCACATTTATGCATTACGTTTTAGAAGAGAATTGATTCAATGCACCTCAGTTCACTTTATTAGTGTTGATACTTAATTCGGATTGATCCAATGATAGAGATGTTGTTTTATGCTTCTCGTTATAACTTTCTTTCTCACCGGAACCCAACTCTTTTACCATATGACAAAGGATATTGTGAGAAGGAGAGTTAATGTGAGAAGTGTAAGAAGAAATTTGTAATCTTGATTTTCTTTAATCTCAAACTCACCCATGAATGACGCTTGATACAAGGAATGATTCCATGCATCTCATCTTAATGTGTATTTAAAGGTGGAGATCCCTTATTACGCTTCTTACTGGAATCCAACCCTTTTATTATATCACAAGAAATTTTGATTATATATTAATTTATCTATACTATATTATAAAGTATTTTGACAAAAACTCTTAAAAATCATTTTTATGTATAAAATATTGTTTATTGATCTATATTACTTAAAGTTTAATACTACAAGTAGATTGTGTGTAAATACAACTTATTAAAGATTCATGTTGGAATTCGTGTAATTAACTGTAGATAAACATCTCATTTTAAGTATAAAAAATTTAAAATATAATCAAGATAATCATTGAGGTCTAACATAATAATTAATTATTATCTTTATAAAAAACATGATTAAACCAATAACAAATTACTTTGTTATTAAACTTAAATTAAATTATAATAAAAAAATTTGAATTAAAGAAATTGCAGAAAAAATGAGAACTTTTAAATAGTTAACTTGATACTGATATAAATATATTTTTTATTCAGATTTTTTATGATATCTTTAAATTTATATTTTATTCAAGAATAAGAACATTATCGGTTTCTGAAAACCATATAAAATCATTTTATAATATCGATAGAGACAAAAAAATAACAAAATATTAAAATAGAGATATATCTTATTACATTGCACGAGTACCCTTCTAGTAATTTATAAAATATCTGGTAAATATTTTTAAAGATAAATTATTAAGTTTAGAATTTATTATTACATACATATTATTATTTAAAGTTTCATGTTTTAATCCATATAATCAATTTTTAACATGTTTAAATACAATACAAAATAAAATAAAATATTTAATAATACATACGAATACCATAAATATTCAGATACTATTTAAAAAGAAATTACATCAATTTATTATAATTAAGTTATACATCTTACTTGCACAAATGTTTTCGTATCAAAAATTATATATATGTTAGGGTCAAACATAATTTTCCTAGTAAATATTTATTTAAAACATCTCCCTTAAGTCTGTTAAAAACAAATTAAAGGCCGACGCATATGCCAGCTAAAATCAAATATCTATCACATCAAAGCCAGCTCTCACAAGAGCATAAAAGAGGAGACATCGTATACTGATCACACTACCATGGTCAGTGTCATGTCATCGGTGCCACAATGACGTGCCTATGGTACCCCCATAGTTGGTTAGTAGCTCGATGTACCTAGAATAAATCATTGCAACGCATGCGACATGACAAAGTTTATATGAACGATGTCGAAGTCAAATAAGATGGTCTCAAAAGACTAGGAAACACAAGATGACAAAGTCAAAATCAAAATTAAATCAAATATTATATATAATATCGACCATGGTAAGTCAAAAAAACTGCCATTTTTATATCCAACGTTGGGTCAAACTTAATATTTAAATCTTCCATTTAAATTGTGTATTTTGCAGTTACATATGGATCCAACCAACTCCTCCCCTACGATATGCTTCCCATGATCCAGCCTACACCTTTTCTTCTTTCCTCATCGCTTCCCCCATTCAAAACCATGCAACTTCCATGTTACACGATCATCTTTAACCTCCATGTTCCCAACTCCCTAGTCTCCCACGATCCACACTATGCTCCTCTCAACAACTATAAATATATGCAAACCTGGGCAAAGGATGAAAGCTAACTCTGTGATCAAATTGGTGGGTGTAGTTCTGATATATGTTGCAAGGGAAGGAGTACGATTTTCAACCAAGTGTAACATTGAGACTGCAAGTACCGTGTGCAGACAAAACAAGTTACATCTAAAAAATTGCAATTCTTTACATACCCATGTCTTTTTCTTTCGTAAATATCTTACTTAGCGTAATAAAGGGCATCCTATTTTATGGCGTGTTAGATTGTAATTTGGAGAATACAAACGGATCAAAGAGTTGAATGGCGAAAATCTCTTTTTGCTAATTATTAAACACTATATATGATATCCTTGTTATTGGTATTGAACTTTTAGCGACACCGATACGAACTTAGCTTCTTTTGAGAAATTTATAAGTGGTCGTGGTTTGTAGGATAAAATTGGCAGTGGCAATGTTGATAATGATGGTAGGGTGCAGATCATAGCCAATCATCATTAGAATGTTTTTAGTAATTAAGCAAACGACAAACCCATTCAGTGTTACAATTTATGATATATCGTGTTGAATGTAGGTTTTATTCTGAATTTTTAAAAGTTAGGAGCAAATGGGTCTCAAAAAATGTAAGTTGAATATACAACCACGGACGCAGGATTCAAGATAGCTTTATAACTATCTCAAATCCATATTAGATTTAGAAAAATCATGTCATAACTCATGTCCAGCATGTTCATGTTTTAGTTTTACCCCAAGGCTAGAGGCATATTCCTTCAAACCCCAATTATAATATGACACCATTTCTGAAGTACACAATAGGCACGATAATCTGGTCGTCCTATATTCATCATCACATTTAGATCGAAAGGACAATGATATAATCAGAAAATTGTTATTCTGTGTAGATCCTTCCAGCTTCAAATAGATATACATGGTGAACCAAATTGATGGAAATGCAGTTACAAAGGTATATAAAATTACCGATGATGTCGTTACTTAAGACAATATATATATATATATATATATATATATATGGCAAGGTAAGCAGTATGATTACCAATCTCTATTCTTGGATCCGGTTGAATACAATATTGTGAAACATATAAACTGATTTCCTTGTGAATACAACATTGGTTCAGCTTCCTTTGCCAAACCACATAGACGAACAAAAAGTTTTAACAAAAAAAAAGTATTGAGAAGGATACAGATGGTATTCATCCTCCAAGGAACATATATTTAAATATCGAAATAGTATCCTATGGTGAAGCTTTTGAACCTTACAAATCCCACTTCGCTCGCAAACTAAGCGATGAGGTAATTATATATATATATATATATATATTTCATACTCATAATCAAACTATAATGATTATAATAATTTAGTACTTTTTGTAGTTTTATTTTTTTGAAAAGGAATGAAAGTGTGTGTGGGATCTTCGTAATTGGAAATAGGATGAGGTTATTGATCTGGATGGTGATGAAAAGAATGCGAATGTTGATGAGGACTTGCTTGACACCTCCAACTCGGCATCAACTCTTAAGACGCGTTAAAATACCTCGGGTCGTTCTTTCATAGCTGCGGTTGGATGCACTGTGTTCGGCATGCGTCCGATGACGATGATTACCTTTCTTTGTAGCGTCTTGAACTAACTAAAACATTTCCTTAGTTATTTAATGAAACATCAACAATGGAAGTTCTTGTAGGTATTTAAGGTGTAAGGGTGGATTATCTCTTGGAGCTGTGTTGATTTGTTACTTTTTTTGGTTCTGGTTTGATTTTCTCGAGCTGCTGGTTAGATTGGTATTTCCGTGGATCAGTTCTTGGAAATATGAGGAACTATTTGTCTAACATTTGTTACTTTTAATTGATAAACACGAAAGTCAACGGTCTGGGAAATATCTAGCTTAAACCAATTTCATAATGCTATTCAATCTCGATTTTAATTGGTCAGTATATAGCAAACTCAGACCCTCTTTTTTATGGAAATTTGGTTTTTGATCTTATTTCAGTTTGGTCAGACTTCGTTTTTTATAATTTAAGATGTAATGGCCAATGGCCAGATTACATATTCTGTTTTGTTTATCCATCTGGAAATCAACAGGATTGGTTTTATCACTTGGTTCAAAGGAGTAATAATGTTGGAATGGTGGATTTAGGTCTATTTCTGGTTGATGCTAGGTACTTTAATTGAAGTTAATTCTGTTATGATCAATTCCTACTTAAGCTACTGTATTAAAGATGGTCATCATATCTTGTTTTGTAGTTGGAGCCATAAGGTGGTTTATTAGGTGGCTGACGGGTGTCGAGTCCGGCAAATAATATAATTTATATAAATAAGCCTATTATCTCTAAAACACACTTGTGATAGCGATAAGTAGGGTCGTCTCC